TAACGCAAAGGACTCTCTTCGTACAATAATCAAGGATCTACTCACGCAACGCTCTTTCCAAGAACGCTAAAGCTTTTCGGATCGAATGGAGCTTGTTTGGCGGAGGCCCGCGGCAGCGATCAGTCATCGGAATTGAATCCAGTGGCATCGTTCGTGCCCGATCTTTTCCAAACTTTCGTCACAGGGTTTCGACCACTTCGGCCCGGGGGGAATAAACTACAACACGGACTTCCCAAGATGGGTGGGAATCCTAATCCCGCCGTAAACCACCCCCTTCGTCCTGTAGGAGTCGACTTCGCGGCTTCGGAGCGTTTCAAGATTTCGTCGCGTCGCGTCGAACGTGCAGAAGAGTGCGGCGTCTTCAACCGTGCGCGAGAAAAGTTTCCGAAGCCGTGGCGGATGTACGAGTTTCATCTCGAAATTTTGTATTCACGAGGGAGCAGAGTCGAAGACCCCCCCCCCACCCCCCTTTCCCCAACCACACACGTTGGCGGTAGAAGTTTCGCCTTGTTCGTCGGAGCCTTCTGTTCCCGACTCATCGAGAACCATCGTCCCTCGGTTCCGATTTTTCGAACGCGTCGACTTTGCTTTCATTCCGGTTTTACGATCGCAGGTGAAAAAGGAAAAACCGCTTCCTCCTTGCCTCTGAGATACGAGGAAATAACTTTGCGACTACGGCCAGGAGTCCTTGGAGTCGATGGAATCCGTCAGAGGTAACGAAACTGTTGTTTGTTGGTTGCAATTTCACTTTCCAAGGTGTCGCTTAATTTTTCGATGATTATTTTGTTCGTAAGGTAAAATCATTACGCTTCTCTCACCGACTTGTAAGACGTCAGGGAAGGAATGCAGATTAAACAAAAAAATTTGTCGAGGTAATGAAATCGGTCGAAAATCGGTCAATTGTCGAGGGGCGTGGATCGATCCCCTCTGCTAAATTAAGACGAAGCATCGAATCCATCGTTCATGAACTCGCTAAAATTAACTGTTCGCGAATCCGCGTATCGGTGGGCTGGGTACATAGTTTAGTGCCGCTACGAGGTCCATAATCTCGCCGAGAATGATGTATCGTCGCGTCGCGCGATTGTTCGATGACCTAGAATTCCATTATCGAATTCTGGGTATCTATAGCCTATGGGCAGCCGACGGATGCCGACATTCGCACGCGAAACTCGCTCGTCGCAGCCTGTCATTGGTTTTCGAGACTGGATATATCCGCGGCGCGGCACGAGTCCGTGGATGGCAAATGGATTTCTGGTACGGGAGCTGTACATCCTCTCAACCCTCTAAAAAATGACGAATTTCTCTTCGATCGTTTAGCCCTGTAGCTGAAAGAATCCACGAACGGCAATCGAAGGGAAAACGGAAGTAAAAGAGAAGTCTCACCCCGAATGTTTGACTTCTCATCGCGAATGCTAAGTAACCACTTCTCGAGGAGCTAATTTGGCTCGTACCGCCAATTAGGGATGGGCCATTTATTTCGGAAGGGTCGGCAGCTGCGCCCCGTTCGAGACACAATTTAATATGCATATCGCGCCCCCGCGGAATCGATAATCAACGGCGGCCAGTGACCACAATGACACCGTAAATCAACCCCGAAGCGATTCATAGAGCTCCACCGATCCAGAAGATGCCGGGCGTTAATTATTCAGAGGATACGGACACGCTTGGGCGTGTAATTGTATCGTGGAAATCGATACCATGTGGTTTTTTTCTGCGGAAAACTCGACAGACTCCTCGAACCGCGGAAACTGGCCGTGCGAACTCTCGTGGAAATCGATTTTATAAGCTGAACCCTCGATCCCTGAATACATTCTAGTCGATGAATGTTCGAATCGTGTTTACCTTTTGACGTAAACGTAAAGTTTATAGGGTCGTTTACACACCGCGGGTTTGTTCAATTTCGAACGAGCTGTTGTTTCTCGCGATTTCACCCGTGTGATAAAATCGGTTCAGTCGTTCCAGAGATTACCCCCTACATACAAACAAATTTCGCTTCTTTACAATATTAGTATAAATGATTCAAGCTAACGACGAACGTAATCTAACCGATCAAATGATAAAGCGTCCAACGTTGAAACGTGTTTAATTGATATTGTTAAGCGATCGAAGATTCACCGGTCGTTAACAATGATGCGAAGAGATCGTTCCAGTAAATAACGCGACAGCGTAGGCGGGCTGCATCGATGAGTCGCGTTCGTCTAGTCCAGCGTTGCGCTCAATTGTATGCACCAATGAAAAGGGTGCCGCTTAATTAAACAACAACACATCGGGAATCTCTCTTCAACTAGCACTCCATCCGTTAATTTATTTGTTTTTCAAAAACTCGTCGGCGCTAAGAAACACGAGACAAACTTGATGCGCTACTGGAGTCTTTTGTAGCGCGGTCATTAACGGCACTCGCGTCGTCACAATTGGAGAATATTTCATTTCCAATTATTCGCGGATAATTATTCCGCGCGGGTAATCGCGGCTGATCATGTTTCGTTACTGGTGCGAGTATCATCGACGAATGGTACACTCGCACCTGAATGCTTATCGACTCTGTTTTAAGCGTTAACAGAAATAATCGACTGTACGAAAAACGAAGAAATTTACAGCTAGCCTCGTGTATTCTACCGAAGCAAAGTCGCCTCGTTGCTCTCGAGGACCGTGTAATTTTCGAGTTAGCCATCCGGGAAGCTGACGCACAGAAGCACGCACTACACTTTTCTTTCAACGAGGACGAGGAATGCGCTTTCTTGCGTCCCTAGTCCGCGACTTCAAAGAAAATTGGGAATTTTTCTGGCTACCTCGCTGGTCCCACGACGAATATGTGTAACGCACGTACGCGAGCACGAAAGTCACCCGGCTTTTCGTCGCGACGCAATAAACGGAATGCAGGGCGTTCCCCGCGAAGAAAAGGGAAGAAATAAGATAAAAAATAAACGGAGAATGGGAAATGAAAAGTCTAATAAGGCGTGGTAGCGGCCGATCGTTGCTCGAAAGAAGGAACGCGACAAAAGGTGCCTCCGCATTTTTCAGCGTTTTCCATCGTCCTCGGCTCCCGTTTCCCAGGCGTCGACGATTTTTCCTCGTATTTTCCGTCTTTCTCCCGCGGGAAATGACGTTAAGGCGGTCAAAGCCCCGAGAAACACGGGCCGCGGAAACAAACGAGCGCTACGCTTTTACAAATCCGGATCCGCACCCGAGACTGCGTCAAATTAAATGCAACGCTAATGGTTTAGCGCCCTGGAATTGCCCTGCGGTGGAGGACGAACCGGGGCGTTTCCCAAGCGTCGTGAAATTTTAAGAAGATATACAACGTCTTACAAAAGAAACGCTTTATTAGGTAACAAAATTCCAAAGCTGCTGTTAATTTATGAACAATTCTTTTTTTTTAAATTAATTTTAAGCAACTTTGACCATCTTTAGCTTACCCGTTCACCCCTGCTTCGAGGTCTCGGTGGTACTTCTTTCCCTCGTGGACATCGAACGAAAAATTTCAAGAGTCCGCGATAAGAATTGCCGCCCTGAGAAGGAAATGAGGCGCTAAAGATAAAGAAATGGAACGTGACCGGTCGAATCGCGCTCCTCGCATCAACCGCCATACTTTCAAGAGAAACACTTTTCTCCTGATAAATAGATCTGCTGGGTAGAAGGTGGTTCCTGGAACGAACCAGAGGATCGTTTCCCTTCGTTTCTTCTCCTTGGATAGGCTGTCCTCTTAGAGGCGACACGTCGTTCGCTGGCTCTCGAGGCCATTCTTCTCTGGCGATATCGAAACGAGACAGTTCATCGCGGTTGAATGGTTCCGCTGCGATGTTTTCCAGCTCGGTTCGCTGGAAAACACGTCCAGCCGCGTTGAAGGTTCGAGGATCGAGGCTGGAATCGTTCAGACCTTCGATCCTGTCCGGATTCCACGATAGAACTTGTTTAAAAACATTCCTCGGCTCTTCGTTTCATAACGTCAGAGACTTGATGTTTCCTGTTTCCGATAGTTTCACGTTCGTTTTAAGGACATGTCCATCCGAGCAAAATTAAAACTCCGATGAAAGATCGCGACGAGGTCGACGATGGCAGGCGGTCAAACGCCGAGGGAAATAATTAAAAGAAAGTTTCATCTAGGAAAAGTATTGCTTCGCTGGATTAAACGGTCGGTCAGAAGTCTCCTTGGCGCCTTTGCAGGGATATCGAATCAGTTTCCGGTTCACGCTTCAAACGAAGAGGAAGGTGGACCGATATCGAATCGAAGGAATACTTTGAAGGACGATATTCGTGTCCCGTCTCTTTGAAACAGCGAGAATTCTACGTCTAGAACAGTCGATCTTGTTCCTCAGGGCTTCAACGACATTTCAAAGTGCTTTTTTTTGCGTTTCTAAGAGAGGAAACTATTACGAAACGCTCGAAAAACACTTGTCATCTGTATTTGTTCTTTGATCGGCTGTGTACTCCGATAATAATTATCTTCTCTGACGTAAGATGTAATTATTCATCGGCTTCTGTAACACAACTGGCGATGTTTCTTAGGTTGGCGGTATAGATAACAGTTTTCTTGCTATCCTTAGCATCCAGATTCTAGAAACTCGATGTAAGTCATTCGTATCCTGAGATGTCGACGAGGAGCATTAATTATAAATTAACACGAATGGTATACGCAGCGCTGTTTTGATAGCGAGAGATTGAAGAAGTGAATCGATTGCTACGAGTAGACACGAGGAGATTGTAGTGGGCTGACGCTTGCGGTTGAGTTGATCGAATTGCTTCAAATTAATCTTTGAAGACCCTTCGAACAGAGGAGCCCTCGAGCTGTTGCCCCTAAAGTTCATCCCTTAATTTGGCTCTGATGGTTGGTGCCAGATGATGGACTACAGAAGACGAAACTTGGCTTTTAGGCGATTGATCGTAGAAAACTAAGCTTGTAGTCGACAGGATTTATCATCGATGGAATTTATCGTCTTTTAGAAAATTAGACTGTTGGATGCATTCGTGTAAAATGTCTGTTTTTTTTCTTTTTGTTTCAGCCTCGGACCTGGACTGCATACGAGCGCTGTTCAACGAGAAGGAGAAGGAACTCTCGTTGGCCGTGGCAAAGGTCGAGGAGCTGACGAGGCAGCTGGAGGAGCTACGAGGTCGACAGAACGCAGCGGGCACTGGGGCTGGAAATGGAGGCGCTGGAGGCGTCGGCGGTGGCGGCGTCGGCGGTGCTGGCAGCGGTCACTTGTCGACGCCAGCCAGCGCCGAGCTCGAAAAGCTCAGGAGGGAGCTTATGGTGAGACCTTTGCTCTTCTTCTATTCTAACGTCCTACAGATGAAAGAATCGATTTGGCCGAGAGAAAGACAGAAGCTCGACATCGTGAAATTGACTCAGCCAGGGTTAAATACTATCGCAGTCTAATCTACCAGCCAGCGGGGTAAATGGTGGCACAATTCCTCTCGCCCGGGGGTCTTTCGAGTCGATTCTATCGTTTGTCGGACCTTAGATGCTTTCATCCACGCTGCAAGATCGTTCAACTACTCGGCGATGGAATTCGCGAAGGATGAAGGTCCTTTTGTCCGTTCGCGATGGCGGCTGCATTTCTGATCGCGCGTTCCATTTGCAGTAAATTGCTCCCTGCCACTGGCGGCTGGACAGTTCGATTTCGGGAAGCTGAAAGGTCCGGAGCTAAAGCGTTTCGCGGATACTCGATGAGAACGGACGCTCCTCTGGGATCCTTTCAGTGGTTAGTTACCGAGCAACGTCGTCAACGGCCAAGAACTTTTCTACCTTTCCCGCCCTTTAAGACTATTCTAGGACTAACTGTAATTAGTAGAAGGCTTAGAAGGTCTGTTTGTTTCATTCCGTCTACAATTACAAAATATTCTGTATCAGAATCGGAGCTTCTAAACTATAATTCCTGTTCAATAATTCATCTACTGAATCCTGTTATATCGATGAAGGTATTTGCCCAGTGGAATTTCAAGCCTGACGACTATAGCCTTAGAACGTTTCATCGATCGTCCTTTTGATGCATCTTGCTACGTCTGTCTGCAATTAAAGAATGCTCAGTATTAGAGCTGGAGCTTCCAGACTCGAGTTTCTGTTCGATATTCCGTCTACTAAATCCTGGTATATCGGTGAAGGTGTTTGTCCAGTAAAGTTTCAAAGCTGACGACTGTAGTCCAAGGGTAGCCTTAGAAGGTCTCTTTGATCGTCCATCTGGTCCTTCCTGTTGCATCGTGTCTATAATTAAAGACTACTTGATATGGGAATCTGAATTTCTAGATTACCACTTTTGTCCAACACTTCATTAGCCACATTACGCTATATCAGCGAAAGAATTTGTCCAGTGGAATTGCAAAACTGACGTCCACAGTCCATTTCAAAGTTAAGCGTAGTTCGCTCTTAACCTCGGAATGTTCATCGATCATCCTGTGACAGTCATGTCGAACGAGTCATATGATACATTCGAAGATGATTCCTATAATCGTGTTCAATTCTGACAGATTCAACAGAAACGATTTCCTTTTCTCGTCGACAGTACCGTAACAAGATGAACGAGCAGCAGAACCAAGTGGTGTCCCAGCAACGGTTGGCCCTGGCTCAGCGACAGGCGGAAATGGCGTCGATCGACGCGAGGATAGCTCAGCTTCAGGGTCGTCTTCAGCGCAAGAGAGCCTTGAATCAACGGCTGAGTCAACAGCTAGGCTCTGGGAACCGCACCAACGCCAACACGGGATTCACGGAGTCCAAACTGGACTTCAACGCTGGAGGAAAGTCTAGACCTGCTGGGAACATAGCTGCGATCGAGCCCTACTCCCACATACCGAACGACAACGACTTCAATCTGAATAAGAACGATCCGAAGTATCAGACGCTGCCGTACAACACCAAATTCACGGTGAACTTCAAGGCTGCCGAAGACGACGTCAACAAAAACAAGATCCAGCACTCGGCCAGCGCTTCCCAGCTGGGTCAGAGGGCGGCCTTCCAGCAATTTGGGCATCAGATCGCTCATAGCCAATCCCAATCGCATATCCAAGGTTCGTGGAATCTCTGTAATTCGGATTAAAGCTTGTAGCGTAACGTCCCAACCCATTGTCCATGACTATCTCGATACTACCTCGAGCTAACATAATTCAGTCTTGATCGTGAGTATTGCTTTCTTTCTTCCAGGTCAATCGCAGCTACTGGGTACCAACCAGCAGCAGCACAACCAAAACATCGCTAGCATGCAGATAAATACTCAGCAGACGTGCAATAATAACAACAATAATAACAATAGCACGAACAATAACCTGATCAGTCCTGTTCACAGCTTCAGCCCGGAAGGACTGTCGCAGAATCTCCGAATTCACCATCAACAGCAACCTCAAACGCAGCAGCAGCAGCAGCAGCAGCAGCAACAGCATGGAACGGGCCAGCAAAAGCAGCACAACATTGGCTCCTCGGCGTCTAGCCTAGGAACGACGATCTCCATCACGCAAACCCAAAACCATCGAAACCTCCAAACTCATCAGAAGCCGGTGTCCAGCGTAGCGCCAAGTTTCTCCGTGAAATCTCAAATCTATCAAACATCCTCCACGAAGATCCATCCGGTGATGCCTCAGACCTTGAGCTTGATAGGTCGCGGACACGCAAACGCGCAGAATTTCGTCGGTCTGAACACCCAGAACCAACAGCAAACGAATCAATCGGTGCCTAGCAATCAGACCAATCAGGAACAAACGTACACGTCGAGGCACAACTATCCAGGCATCCAGCAGCATTCCATCCAGGCCAACAGCCACGTGTCCTCGTCCTATCAGTCTCAGCACTCCCCTAACCTGCCAACGACCATTCACACTTCTTCGTCCAGCGGGCCTAACTTCGGCGGCTCTGTTCAGAGGTACAACCAAATCCAACCGTTGACGAGCTCGTCGTCCAACAACGAGCAGAACGAAAAGATGAAGTTTGACTCGGTGAAAGGCCAAGAGAAGTTTGAGCACGCGTTGTCAGCCAAGCACGAGCAACAGAGGTACGAGCCCAATCCTGTGCTCAAGTACGATCCCCACCAGATCAAGTACGAGCATCCCAAGTACGAGCACAACAAGTACGAGCAGAGCAGCCAATCCACCAAGCTTTACGAACCGTCGAGCAAACACGATCAACCTCCCGGCAATCAGACCAAGTACGACAACGCGCCTAAGCTCGAACAAGGGAAGTACGAGACTGGTGGCCAGACCAAGCACGAGCAGCAGCATCACGGGCCTAAGTATGACCCCAACCAAAACACTCAGCAGTATGGCAAACACGATCAGCACGAGGTGAGGCCGTCGGTCAAGTACGAGTTGAACACGGCATTCAAGCACGAACCTCCCAACAAGTACGAACCTGGCGGGCAACAGTTCAAGCAGGAGCCAGTCAAGTTCGAGAATAATAAGTACGAGCAGAGCTCGACGACCAAGCACGACCACAATGGCAAGTTCGAGATCCCAACGAAGACGCCTGATAAACCATTCGAGTTCGAGAGGCTGAAGAACGAGAACGAGAGAAAGAGTCTAGGCGAGGATAAGACAAAGCCGGCGTTGCCACCGAAACCTAGCAAGCCCAATCCTCCGCCGAGACTCACGCATCACGAGAAGGTGGACACCATCGCGGATGGGGGTGGCGATTGCAAGAATAATATAGCGCTGAGCCCAAGGTTGGTATCATCTGTCGTCGGTATTCTTTCGCGAGTTCAAGAATAGTAGTAGTAGTTGTTGTATTTTCTATTTAATTTGTTAATACAATACTATTTTTGTAAGGCGGGGAATATTGGGGGTGGCCTGCTTTCAATGGGACACATCATATAATTCTGATCCATCATTCGATCGCTTGTCTATCAGCGCAAGCAATGACACCCTTCATTCTCGGTACACGTACATAATATCGTTACCACGTCGCGAACTGGGGACATTAAATTCTTTGAAATCGTAAAATAAAAAGTCTTTCCTTGATCGTGACTGGGATAATCGAGTGAAAAACGATCGATCGAGGCTGATGGTGGAGAACGGCAAAGGTTTCGGGCACAGGATGACAAAACGATTACTGGGTTAATTATAAATGTTAATTAGTCCGCGATCGATTTGGCCGGTGAATCGAAGCCTGTCTCGAATAATAGACACCGAAATAGAACGACTGCTGTTGTGTACGCGGAGACAACAGCTTTTAGTAGTCGCGAGCTCTTCGATCGATCGAGGCCTTGGTTACTGATCGACCTCCTGGCGACGCGCGCTTTTCGTTTGAATCTGTATTCCTAGACATTCGTCGCTCGAGAATATCCTGGTCGTGACGTCGAGTTACTTAGAATCTCTTCTCGAAAACGTCGGTGATCCTCGACTTCCTCTTTCACGTGCTCGATAACGATAATTAAACATTTGCGATTGGTGGACGTGGCAGCCAACCGTGTCGTTTTAACGTTTCTATCGAATCCTCCCCAGGACAGAGAAGGAAGAGGACTTGCCACCGATTCCCACGTCAGAGCCACCGGAGTCTCCCACGGAAACGCAATTCGGCAACCATCAAATCATCAAGGCTCGGCCTCTGACCCTGAAGAAGGCGCCCATTTCCGAGCAGCCGAAGCTTCGTTACGCTAAATCCAATGTTCACGTGTCGATAAACAGACGAATTGAAATGCCACCGGCGTTCCTGTTCCCGGAGACCGAGATTCCAGCTGACTTGATGCAAACGGAGCAACAACAACAGCAGCAACAGCAACAGCAGCAGCAGATCATCGATACGACGGACAATTGCAAGAAGAGCAACCCGATCGAGGACGTGATCAGCAATGAGAAGCTGGAAGAGTCGGACATCATCGACGCTCTGAACGTGATCAACATCGAGGACAAGGCGAAGGCGCAGAAGGACTGCGACAGAAGAACGGAACTGGACCTGGACGGAAAGAGCAACGATGTGATGAGGAGGAAGAAGGGGAACCTGAAATCCAGCACCGGAAAGGCGAATCTCTCGAGGAGGGTATCCTTTGATCCTCTGGCTCTCCTCCTAGACGCTAGTCTCGAGGGTGAACTCGAGCTGGTAAAGAAGACTGCCAAAGAAGTGGCCAATCCTAGCTCAGCCAATGACGAAGGCATCACCGCCCTGCACAACGCCATTTGCGCCGGTCACCTGGAGATCGTCAAGTTCCTTGTCGAGTTTGGCTGCGACGTCAACGCGCAGGACAGTGACGGATGGTAAGCCTTGACGTTTGTGTGCTTACTCTGTTTCGAATCTTCTTCAATGATTCTCAGATCTATTTGATTAAACCTATTTGATTAATTCGTACACTTTTGTTACAGGACTCCGTTACATTGCGCCGCTAGCTGCAACAACCTGTCGATGGTTAGGTTTCTAGTGGAGCATGGAGCCTGTATTTTCGCCACCACCCTTTCTGACCACGAAACCGCGGCGGAGAAGTGCGAGGAAGATGAAGAGGGCTTTGATGGCTGCTCGGAATACTTGTATAGTTAGTACTTTGATAAATTATCGTACACTCTCCTTGCCTATGAACCATACCGATTAATGCATCTATCAAATTCGGTACGAATGATAGGCGTGGTACGAGAATCCCTTGAACGAAACAGCTCATTTGTAACGGAAGTGAGGATCGATGGAGTCGATCAATTATCGTTACCCTGATCCCTCGAATTCTTGGCACTATTTGTAACCAATTAACGCGAGCTTGTTGCGTCTCGTTACAGGTGTTCAGGAGAAGCTCGGTATAATGAACAACGGTCAGGTCTACGCCGTGTTTGACTACGAGGCGCAACACAGCGACGAGCTGACGTTGAAGAACGGTGACTCCCTGGTTGTGCTTCGTAAGGGCGACGACAACGAGAGGGAGTGGTGGTGGAGCAAACTGGGACACAAGGAAGGCTACGTGCCACGGAATTTACTTGGCGTAAGTTGCAGACCTTCCCCGCGAAAGAGTCCAAATACGAGGCCATCTACCTACCTACGAAATGCTATTTGTCAATGTTATATTTGTTTTTAGATCGCTGTGATCCATGCTAATCGTTTTGTTACAGTTGTATCCAAGGGTGCAGCCATCGAAGGTGGACTGAAGGGACGCGTCTCGCCCCACAAATCTGTACTAATCCGATGATTCATCATTACCACAGTATTCGATTCGCAGCTTTATCTCGTTAAGTATCATAGTTGCATCGTCGTCACATTACCAATGTTATCTTATTTAATCGCGTCCCATTGTCATCCGTAAGAAGCGAGTGAAGGAGTTCTTATATAGTTTACTTGTCTCTTTTTTTTTTTTTATATATTTTCTAAGACGAAAGCCGGTAATTGCTAATAGACCCGGATCGAAAGGTCGCTTCCGTAAGTTAATGTCGTTGAAGAGAGGAGCGAGGGTGTCGACTCGTTGTTTCTCGATCGATAGAAAATCATCTTCAACGACGAGAAAACGCGCTCGCCGAACGTGTAGGAAAATCGAATAACGATACGATTAAACACAGTGTAACGAACAATTAGGATGTGATTAGTTAGCTCCAGGAACAGTAGCATCGACCGAAGAAACGGCATCACAAAATTGACCCTTTCACTGTGGCGCCCTTCGAGTTACCCCACCATAAATATCTAAAATACGCAAAACCGTTGCACTAAGCGTATACATACGTCGATGGAAAGGTTAAGCATCACGCACACAATTTCGTTACATTCGGTTTGGTTTATTTATTCGCACAAAAGAAAAATGCAAAAATAACAAAATATGTTTAAAATTTGTAATATTTTTTTTTGAGATACTCTAATGAATACCTACCGTTTAACTTTTACCAGTCCAATTTACAGTGTGCTTATTCACTGTTCAACGTCTCATAAGAATTGTTCGCATTCGTAGCCTGCACGTTAGTCAGTTCCTTCAACGAAACAGTACAAAAGAAAAATTTCAATTTCGCTCCCCGTAATTACGCTCTTAGGTCGACGACTTGCGTACGTTCAGAGTCGAAACGTTTACATTTAATATACGTCTCTCGAAGCAGAATTCGCGTCGTGGTGGAGATGACTTTTAAAAGCTTCTCTTTGCATTCTGTTCTTCGCGAACTCGGTGGAAAAATAGTCTGCCGAATGTCGATGTACTGGCTCTACCATTAATCCTATGCGGTCCTATGTTGTATGAGGCTCGACAAAAATTTCTTTCAATCAACACCTCCAAGGAACAAATTTTTATTTACACGCGACCATGCGAACGTCTCGTTGCAAACACCACGATATATATGTATAAGGGTACTTAATGTTTGATTTGTTTCACCTAAATGGTACTATTTAGGTGAAGTCAGATTATTGTTACGTTTTTATTCGTCAGCAGCGAAATTTTCCAAATCCGATAGACACGGCTTCGGATTTCGAAAATGTTCCTAAGGAAGTATAATGTAATCTTGCCAATACGCACTTCGAATGATCTGTAACGAAAATAAGCGTGCGAATGGAGAAGTCCCAGGAGCCTTGATGACATTTCTTTTTTTCGTTTTTATATGTATCGCCAGCACCTGGTATCTCCGATAATCGACTTAACACTTGCCTAGACTTGTATAATTGATAATTATCACCTAGGTCAGATTCGAATGTCCAGACGTCAGAAAGGTTCTGAGCCCATTTTGTTGTACTGTTTAGAGATATGTACAGTAGTACGTGAAAGAATTACAAACGCTCTCAGAAAATTTCTGACGTGTTTAACTCGTAAATGAAGTATGTGCCTTTCAGAAGTAATAAGGGATATATTATGTAAGAATGCATGATATATTATGACGAATAAATTGTTTTCAATAGAAAATCGTTACAAATATCGTTTAATGTCATGTGTAATATAGACGAACAGTGATACCAAATGGGGGTAAGTAGCCGTCCGTTATTTCTAAAAAAAATACTCTCGGCGCATAAAATATAAGATAAAATCATTATAAATACCATAAAACAAGAGAGAAAATGTCCACCACGAATTATAAATAATTACAGTCTAGCGATACGCGAGTCTTAAATAAGTTAGTTTTTAGAATATAGGTAGCATGCATTTCAAGTGATGTAACATAATAAGCGAAAAAGTCACGCGCAAACTTAACATAAATCTAATGCGAATACTTGAAGTTTTGTAATATAAAAATATCATTTGGACATCTCAAATACTTTTATGACTATGTCAATAGTATTTCATATAAATCTCATAGAGTACTTGAAGAGTTTTTGTACAAACAAATAGTAAAAAAATATAATTAATTTAACAGTGAAAACTGTTAAGACCTCTATAGGGTCTTTACACGACGAACGTTGATATTAAAATATCTGTATATATTAAAAATATATATGTATATAAACATATGTTAACACTTGTAATACGTATGGCCTCTTTGTTTAATGTTAACGATGTAATACGACTAAGTTTTGTTGTTCGCAAGAAAAATGAATACCTAAATTTCATTGTTTTTTACTTCGTTTATCAACTGTAGGCAAATCTTTATGTCTTCGCAATCGTCGACCATAGCATCAAGCCTTAAACACACAAAACAAACTGTGTTAGACTAATGTAGAATTTATGAATTTAACTTCTTTTCGTATTAATACCTGTCAGCAAACATATCTAATATCGAGGTTGGGAAGTTCCCTTTTTTCAAAGCTTGAGAACAAAAGTGCGTCAAATTTTTAAAACATTTGCATGCCAAATTACAAAGAGTTTTATTTTTGCACTTCAATAATTGCTTTGTAATATTCCATGCTGCATATGTGTAATGCATTACTGACATCCAGTGCTGAGACTCTACAAGTCTCTTTCCCTGATCTATGATAGCTTTCTACATGAAATCAGTACAATGTTAATAATAAATTAAAATAAAAAAAACTTGAAACCAAAAGGTTCAAGAACTAAGTTCAATAGAAAAAATGAGTGCTAATAAAATATAAACATTGCACCTGATAAGCATCCAAATGAATATATGCACAATTGTTTGCTGAATCATCCAAGTTACAACACACTGTACTAGTATAAATGTTCTGCACTAAATTGTTTAAGGTATCAATTAATGGTTGAGTATCAGCCACTGGCATTTTCTTCAAAAGAACATTACGTAACTTTTCTCGTTCGCTCAGAGTACCATCTTCCTGCATGGACACTATGTCTGTAATCATCTGCACCAACTGTTCGTGACTCAGACCTCGCAAGCCATTTATTAAATTTCCTGTGAAATGCGAATTACTGGTAGCCAATAGGCTTTGTGACTTTTTCTTTTTCTCTGGTGTTGTATATTGAGACTCGTTATTGTCCCCAAGTGCAAGCCTTTTTCTTGGTGTGCTTCTTAATACCATGGTAGATTTTGATGGACTTTTCACTGGGGTACGATCTCTGGAACTTAAGCTGAAAAGGTTTTGGCTCATTATTGTACTACACTTCTTCAATAAGAAAAACCTTTTGCACAACACTCTTACAATTACCTGAAAAGACTATTTCTTTTACATGTATCAAGATCAGGTGACCAAACAATGGGTCTACGACGTCGTCCACGCTTTTGTATTACTAGTTCATCGGGACTGGGTGCAGGACTCCAAGAATCAGAGCCGTGTCGGCTGTTTAAAAAATTGTCCATTGCATTTACTTCGGTTGAAATGGCGTCTCCTAAAACACACGAATCAAAACTAAAAAGAATGCAAAAAGGATAATTGATCACGCGTAAATTTTCAGAAACGCACCAGGCGATGGAACAGAATTATTGACAGGGATTACGGCTAGAGCTTGTCGAGCAGATCTTCTACGCATTCCGTCGGGTCTTCGCAGAAGGTCTCTAGTCGTCGGGGTATTCATTTCTCACAGAAAAACAAAGAATTCTCTTAATATGTAACCTATGTTTCTTCAATGAATGCTGCACTTCAATATGATATGTAAAACGTCGATATTTCTCTTCGACACACACACAATCGGTATTTAGCTATCTCGCATTATTCGCCAACAAAGTGAACAAGATTATTATTTAAAAATACAGGAAAAAGTGTACCTAATGTCACAACAAATGCATTACAGATTGAAAAAAAATGATCACAACAACGCGTCAGACACTATTTTGTGGGCCTAAACAGGGTCACAAATGGCGGGAATGAATCTGATTGGTTCTTCCGATATAAAATGATACTGAAACCTGTTGCACTGACTACACTATATACACTTGTACAGTTTTTAATGGTTTCGAATTCTAACACTAAGCGAACGCGTATTTACACGTCATAACTGAAAAACTAAACACGCTCCAACTGAAAGAGCTAAGAATTTCGTCTAATACTATACGTTGAGTATTATGATTTATCTTATTATTTTTCTTAATATCTAACGATCCCTCATTAATTTTGCAAATTCACGTTCCATTCTAATTCTATATTATAAATTTCTGTACAGTTCTTTAGAAAAATATCGTTCACCCTGTGAATGAGACTTAAGTTTTGCATATCAATAGAATTCTTATTTAGACTCGTAGTTCTACTGTATTTTTGAGAACAAGTTGAATAGTTACGTTCGTTAGAATTAATAATTAAGCAATAAGAAGCTATTATTACACATATCAAAACTATCTGTCACTAATTGTCACTTTATAAATTAGGTTATGTTATTAACATGAAGTTTGAGCACGTGGGTCCTGTAAGACTTCTACTATTGCATACGTTGTGTTGAAAACATTAAAATACAGTCAAGTTTCAAATATTTCTCTTGAAGTGTTCACGAATCTAAAGAAGAGTGGCATCGCGTTGTTAAACATTAGTGAATTTATATACACATTTACGATATGGATGAATTATTAAGCGATAAACGGTTCGCCCACATTGCGAGGGATCCTAAATTTAAAAGGATCCCAAAAAATGAACGAAAAGTGAAAATCGACAAGAGATTTCAAAGTATGTTTAAGGATAAAAAGTTTACAGTTCAATATACCGTTGATAAGCGTGGTAGACCTGTACAAGAAACTTCGTCAGAAAATCTTAGAAAATATTATGATTTACCTAGCAGCGATGAAGAAGAAGAAGAGGATGAAAAAAAAACTGATACACATCAGTTAAAAAAACTAAGTTCTACAATGGATAATATAGATAATCAAGATCAAAGCGATAGTTCATTGGACAATTGTTTTTCAAGCAATGGAGAATTGCTTCGTATTAAACCAACAGAAGAAAACAATATAGATTCTGAAAGATGTAATGAATCTGAATCTGATGCAGAGAGCATAACAAACACAGAGAGTTTGGAAACAGATATAAAAGAGAGTAAAAAACAATTGTTAGTCAGAAGGCAAAATGAATCTACTAGCCTCCCAAATAAAATTAAAGAAAAGTTAAGAGATTTAAGTGTAAATTATGCTAGAGGTGAAGGAGTTTTGTTGACAGATAGTTCTTCTGATGAAGAAAGCTCTGATGACTCTGGTAATATTACATGATATAATGCATGAATAACTCTTTTAATAGATGATTGTATAAATTTATCAAAAATATAATAATACATATTTTGATTAGATGAAGAAGAGATTGAACATAACTGGGGTGAATTAGACAAAGAAGCAGAGACAACTGATCAAATTACACATCGATTAGCAGTGTGCAACATGGATTGGGATAGAATACGCGCTATAGATTTGTTAGTCTTATTTAATTCATTTTTACCTAGTGGAGGTGTTATTCGTTCAGTTATGGTAAGAATAAGTGATGATCAAGCAAAGTAAGTGCATTTATCAATCTTTATAACTAAATAATTTCAGATTTATCCATCAGAATTTGGTCTACAACGCATGAAAGAAGAAGAAATTACTGGCCCAAAAGAATTGACACAAATTAATAATGAAAGAGGACTTGATGAAAATGATGTATACATTGCGTTATTTTTATATCTAATTATTATTGTAACAACTACAGTTTACTATAATTTTACAATTTACTTTTGTAGGATGAAGAGGGATCAACATATCATATGGAAAAATTAAGACAATATCAATTAAATAGATTAAAGTATTACTATGCTGTTGTTGATTTTGATTCTGCTGAGACAGCAAATAAAGTTTATACAGAGTGTGATGGCACAGAGTATGAATCCACAGCAACAAAATTGGATCTTAGATTTATACCAGATGATATGGAATTTGATCAGGTACGTTGTTTAGTTTTTAAGCCTATAAAATATATTCACTGTACATGAACTTAGATGCCTACTTTAAGACTCCTAAAGAAGTCTGTAATGAAGTGCCGCCATTGTCAAAATACCAACCAAGGCAATTCACAACTACAGCTCTACAACAAGTTAAAGTGGAGTTAACATGGGACGAAACAAATCCAGAAAGGTTAGAGATTGCACAAAAATTAAATTCTGGAAAGCTTGATCAGCTCAATCAGCATGATTTACAAGGTTATTTAGCTACTGATTCAAGCAGCGATGAGTCAGGTACATTTTTAACACTTTATTATTTATTATTCAATATGATATGTCATTATCATGTTTCTGTATTAACAGAGGAAAAAGAGATAGAAAAAGAATCCCAACAAAATAAAAGTGATTCTGAAGCTGAAACAAATGCAGATCCAATTGAAAAGTATAAAGCTTTGTTGAAGGAGATAGAAGAACAGGAGGAAGAAAAGCAAAAGAAAGACGTTGGATTAGAATTTACGTGGGGGATAGGAACAAAAGAGAAAGCTGAAAAGTTAGTAAAGGAAAGAATGAAAAAAGATGCAAATCTGACGCCGTTTGAACAATACTTGGAAAAACGTAAAGAAAAAAAGAAAGCAAACCGCGAAGAGCGAAAAAATCGTCAAAATGCTGATAAAGACATATCTGCAAACTCTGAAGACTCTGGAATGTCTGATTCGGATGCAAGTGAAATTGATAGAACAAATACAAATTACAAATCATCCTCATCTGCAAATAAAAAGACTATGAAAAATGATAATTTTGTTTCGTCAGACAATGAAGACGAAGCACAACGCAAAGCCGAGTTAGAACTTCTTCTGATGGATGGAAGTGAAAACAACGGTAAACAACATTTCAATATGAAAAAGATAGAAGAAAATGCTACAATGACGAAGTCTAAGCAAAAGCGACTAAATAAAAAGAAGAATAAACAAGATCAGATAATGGAGGACAATTTTGAAGTGAATGTACAAGATTCGAGGTTTAATGCATTGTTCACATCGCATCATTTCAATATTGATCCAGCGGATCCACACTACAGAAGAACAAAGGGTACGGAAGCTCTAATAATAGAGAAATTAAAAAGGAGAACCAATGATACCACCACTAACGTAAGTAGAACTCATTCTATAACATAATTTTGTAATTTAATATATTACGTTTACCCATGTATTAATTTTATACAATTCATAGGAAAGTGGAGTCAAGCAACCAAAGTTGATGCCTAACGCAGAACTTCAAACATTAGTTAAATCAGTGAAGAGGAATACAAAAAATATTTTACGAGCAATAAAGTGACAGTTTTTGTTTAAAATAAACATAATCCTGTTGCGATTTTGATTGAAATTAAATAAATATGAACACTTTCCGAAAGTGTTGCATAGTTATTTTTATTGGCCATTTACCATTGTTTCTTACCTATCAACGAAATGTCATATGGTGTTAGAAGGTATTAGGAGTTTTTAGGAGATGTTGGTAGATGTTAGAGGGTGATGGAAGACGTTAGGAGGTTTCAGGAGTTGTTAGAGGATGTTAAGGGTTATCGAATGATAAGTTAGTGTCAGTAACCGGTAACTAACGCGGCGTGAACGAATAGTGAACGAAATGTTAGTTGCCATCAACTTGGTGCATGTATGCCCTTGTTAGATATCAACCGAAGTTAGCCAGTTTGTAGGCGGGGTTGCTATATCGCAGGCGCAAAGGTGCCCCTGGTATCCAGCAACCGATACTGGTCTGTTTGTCGGTTCGGTTGCCATCTCGTATGCGCAGGGGTACCCCTTTAATGCGGCAACCTGTGCTAGCCGGTTTGTCGGTTCGGTTGCCATCTCGTAGGCGCAGAGGTACCCCTTTGATGCGGCAACTTATACTGGCCGGTATGTCGGTTCGGTTATCGTCCCGCAGGCGCAGAGGTTACTGTTTTTTTACCGGTCACATGGGCTTTTTCTAAATAAAGCTGTTTTTTCACGGATGCAATAACTTTCGCTTAGTCAGATACCGGCGAATGAGGGATGCGCGTCTAGCCATAGACTGTAGACTCTATACAGATGTCTAGCAGTCTCATGAAATTGCAATGGCAATGTAATATGGCGATCATGGCTTCACTCGGGGTTCAGCAATGCTCGGGCCCTATATTTCTATGTCCGAGGTACAGTTAAGTGAGTTGCTTTAATCACAACGTTTCGTTTTGAGGTTGTATTTTATAATGGGTGTCGACAAAAATGAGGAGTATCCCGTGAGTTTAATAATTCCAATGAATATTTACCTGTGTATTTCTAACTTTAATATAAGTTATCTGCTACGGTTTCCCCCAAATGATCTGTATATCATGCCACGTATGGTACACTCAGTAACTTGAAAATATGTTTCTATTTGAAATTTACGTATATATTAATATATTTTACATGAAACTACTTATGGTTTACATAAAGTACGTATAGTTAGATTTACAATTCACGTTTTGAAATTACCGGTATGGTATACCGAGCAATTGTAAAATTTTTACGAAGATGAACTCCTTTTAGTTATCCTATTCTTTGTTTTATAAATATTTAATGTATTGAGCTAACAATTATTATTATTCTAGCCTGTACGCGTAACTCTGTGGGACAGTTCTGCAGTGAAGAATGCATTGGATGATATGGTTAAGGATGTACTTATAAAGAAGTATAACTACATAGAAAACTACGCATTACTTGATGGAAGATTAGCTCTTTGTGGAGTTGCTGTAATAGTAGCTATTATCGGGTTGCTCTTCGACTATCTTTATCCATTTCCAGCATCTAAATCTGTGCTAGTTGTTTGTGTCACAATATACTTCTTTGTGATGGGTCTTTTGTCACTGTATACAACACATAAAGAAAAGAACATATTTGTTGTTGCAATTCAAAGGTAAATTTCAATCTATTCAAAATTGTCAACTATTATTTTCAAAGGTAAGAAATGTTTTTTCAAGTATTAAATTAAATTTGTTATATTTCAGAGACCCAGCAGGTTTCAATCCTGATCTCATCTGGGAAGCAAGTTCCTATATGAATAAATATGATGATAAATATAATCTTGTATTGTCCGTCAGAAATACAACTACGGAAAATTCAAATGAGACTAGTGTTACAAAATCTGTGGGAAATTTCATTGATGTCAATGGTGTTGTTATTCGAGAATTAATAGCAAATGTTGTAACAAACATGCACGATAGTTTAACCAGTCAACGCAAAGAGAAGTAGTAGTGAAGATAACACTTGTTTCATCAAACATGATTGTCATTCCCTTATATCGCATAAAACTATTCATTTTTTTCGTGTTATGTATTTTTTATTGAAATAAATATGATATGAGAATAAAATTTAGTGACTTAAAATAATGTATGTATTGTAATTCGTATCTAAATGTAACAGGAAAAACAAATATAAACTTTCACATAGCCATTACTAAAACGAAGTTTCTTTGCCCACTTACATCTCTAATAAATTATTTACGTAGCTGAATCATATATTTGTCAATTTTTTTTTACAGTATGCAACCACTAAAATTAAACAAAAAATACAAAAGAACATAGACGTCTAACGTTAATGATGAATTAAAGTTATTGTTCATTGTTCCCCAAAACAGGACCGTTAACATAAATTTTGTATATGATTGTATAAGAATGCTCGACTAAGAGCAACAGATAAGTTACTTCAAATATGATAACAGCTAGTTTAAATAAAAATAACCGTTTTCCAGTTCGATGATTTATAAATAATCTATGTCCTATAATTAACCGTGCGTCGTGTCGTCTTCCACAAAGTCGGCTGCCTCTTCTCGCGTTACGCACACTACGTGGGAAACTTTATTTCTGAATTTGACGCCGTAAAATTTGTTTGCATGTTGTAGTAATTCTGGTCTGTAATAGATCGCAATTAACACATTTAAGAACTATATACGTTAGATACGAATACAAGATTACCTGAATGTTGTCGTGATAAATTGGGCATCGGAACTAAGTTCGTGGATCATGTCTGCTACAGCTTTCCTGTGTTGCGCGTCTAGAGCTTGATCGATTTCATCGAACAAGTAAAAAGGTGCTGGGTCACACTTTTGAATTGCAAATATTAACGCCAACGCTACCAGTGATTTCTGTCCACCGGATAGTTGATTCATTTCTCTCATTTCAGCTCTATGACCAGTAAAAGAAACCCGTATACCTGAAAGTGTTAGCAAAATTTCGACGATTGATTTACCTTTTCATTTTTGAAGTTGTTACTTGCAATCTAATTGTCTTGTTCTGTCTTACCAACTCCAATAAATCTGTCGGAATCTGCTGATTCTGTCGTTGTGTCGTCTCCTTCCTCGCCATCCGCTGTCTTCATAACTAATTGTGCGTGACCTGATGGTACAAGTTTTTTGAACACCTCGCTGAAATATTTACTTACCTAGAAACAGAATAATCCAAATAAAAATAATACAAAACTATAATTACACGAAAATTACGAACTATAGAATAAGTTTATGTTACATACTTGTTTAAAAGTAAATTGAATTGCTTCACATTTTCGTTGCTCGAGCACTGACATCAATTCCTTAATTTTTTCATCGCCTCTATCCAATTCTTCTTTCCTTTTTACCAGTTTCTCTTTTTGATCGCTGAACGACATGAACTGATCTAACGCTTTTTTATTTACATGACTGGAATAAAGGGAAAAGTGTTTAAGCTTACATAATATAAAATTACTATATTTCATTACTTATTACAATAGTGTAGTTATTTATACCTGTATTTTTTTAAATGATTGTTCGCTTTTTCCATTTCTTTGAACAACTGTTTGGTAGACATAACACTAAATTTGGAGTACACGTCATGACTAGGCAGTGCACCGAGTTCAGTAATCTTTTGAGTACATTCTACTATTTTCTGTTGCAAAATATTCGATTTGCTGGCTAGTTTTTCTAAATCCTTAGCATCAGCTTCTATTTTCTCCTGTGCTTCTTTTTCCTTAACTTTCCACTTTTCACCTTCCGTGGACTCTGCTTTTTGCTAAATAAGAAGAAATAATATATAATAATTTATATAGGCAAAATACTATTAGTTACCATGTTTTATCTTTACCTTCTTTATAGCATTGCTGACTCTTTCATTCTGAGCTTTAAAATCTGAATTTACTTTTGCTAGTCTCTTTTCGATATCTGCTAATTGTGCTCTTGATGATTCTAATTGACGTTGTCGATCTTCCACAGATATCTCTTGTAAAGCTTGAACCAATTCATCTTTCCTTCTGACTAAATTATTGGTCAATAAATTTTCTAATTTATTTTTATCAGCTTCTAGTCGCATACGTTTAGCAAATGCCTCTTTATTATCTTTTGTTAATCGTCTTATATCGTCGTTCAATGTATCGACCTAAAATATAAACGTTAGTAAACTAACTGTAAACACTATTTCATTAGGTTTTTTTGTTTCTACTTTCACATGCCTGACGCTGATCAGCAACAGATAATTGTGCCATAAGTTCCTGGTGCAATTCACTCTCCAAACCTTCTTTCGTTGCTCGCATAGCTTCTAAACTCGACGTACATTGCGCAAGGCTTCTTTCTTTTGGTGTACGGTATCTTGCTATCGCGCTCAGTTCTTCTTTCATAAGTCGTATTTCAGCCTTCATTTTATCATACACATCTCTATAATACGATAAAAATTAATATTTTTGAAAACTCGGCGGAACTAAACGTAGAATTGAATTGAATGATAACTTACTTAGCTTTACTGTTCTTAGTTTCAGTTTTTTGCATTTCACTAACATAGGAGCTGATATTTTGGTCTGCCTTCCTGATCTCGTCTTTAAGGGTTGCGAGCTGAGATTCAAGGGATGAAATTTGCGACATTAATTCCGATCTGGTTTTCTGTATTTCTAAACGTGATCTTGCTGTATTAAAGTATCCACCTGTTAACGACCCTTTCGACGATACTTGGTCACCTTCTAGGGTCACGCAATCCAAACCCGAAGTGCGAGCTAGATTTGTCGCGGTTTCTAAATTACGGCAAATTAATGTTTTCCCAAAAATATATCTATTTCAAATAGAAAATTACAAACATATAGTTTCATCAAAGTTAATTATACAGTATCAAAAATTCTATTAGTTATTCACCTCAAAGCTTTGTCATACTTCTCGTCGTATTCCAATTTCGAGATCATAGGCATAGCGTCGCCAGTTTTTGGATAATCTATCTCTTTTACATGAAGTCGATTTAAAGGCATAAATGTTACTTCACCTGGAAGTCGTTGATTGTTCATTTCTTTCAAAATTTTTGTCCCGAATTTATCGGTTTCCACGATATGGTGAAACAATCGATTTCCAGCAGTTACTTCTACAGCCATGTAAAAGTTCTTCTCGCAACTGAAGTTCTCGATCACAGGCCCATAATAACTACTCACTTCGTGGGCCATGTCTCTACGTGTTCTAGGATATACGTGCGTTATTTATTTTGTAATCGTTATATGAATACTTAGCGAATGTAAAGTGATACTTACCGAAATGTATCTAGCACTTTCCGTACACTATCACGTCCATTTAGAATAGGTTTTCCGGCCATGGACCGTAAACTTTGATCTGCTTTTGCCAAATCCTCTTTGAGTCCTGACAAATTAAGTTGCAACACGCTCTCTTGACGATATCTGCAATATTATAAATTTAATTTGCATCTCATTAAATATTCGCAAGCATTAAAACTATTGTAATGAACGAACTGTTCTTTTCGAGTAGCTTGACACTGGTCCTTTAATTTGGTTAATTCATAGTATTGTTTATTATGCTCATCTATCGATGACCGTTGCTGTTCCATTTCGCGCGTGTGTTCTTCAATTTTTCTCTCTAAAATAATTTGTTTCTCCGCATCTTTTTTTAAGTCCTCGCTAATTTTTCTTTGGTGTTCTTCCTTATCTTTAATTTGTTTGGTAAGTTGCTTAAGCTCGTTTTGTATCCATTTATCCCTCTCGTCCTAATACAATGGAATTATTAAAACATATGTTTATCCTATATTTTTATCTTGCATTTAATGAAGTTATATTCAATACCCTGCTAGTAAACTGGCTACCACGACCCTGCTTGGCGTATAATTCTTTTCGCTTTTGCTCTTTCAATTGTAACTCACGTGTACATTCCTCTTCCAAACGTTTCATTTCTTCATACTAAAATAAATTGCCACTCATAATTTTAAGTCATATTTGAATTTATTGGACAATGGACATTATAACATACTTCTGGCTTGAGTACTTCTAGTTCTGCCTCCTTTGCTGCAATGTTTACTTTTAATTTCTCTAATTCCTGTTGAGCACGCTTTCTACTATCATTATCTCCTTTTACTTCTTCCAGTAAATCATTGATAGTTAAACTCAATTTGGTTCTCTCTTTTAATAATTGTTGTTGCTCAGCACTGAAGAACATTTTCCGTGTATTATGTAAATTCTTATTTACATACATGTTTATGAATATTACCTAAGCGTGTCTCGTTCTTCTTTTGCGGATTGCACTTCTTTCTTTGCTTCTTTAAGACGTTTTGTTGCAGCTCTCACCATTTCCTGGGCTGTTTTTGCTTCCGCACCTAATCGCGCTTGTTCAGCGCCACTATTAGCCCTAGACTTTTCAAGATCTTCCAGCTTTCTTTTATTTTCTGTAAGCTCCCGCTGATGAATTGTATATTCCAAACAGCGACGTTGTTTATCCCAACATTGGTACTCTTTAAGTTCTTCCTTTTCTTCTTCCAAGGTTTTCAGACGTTCCTCTGTGATTCAAGAATAAAGTAAGCATTTCCAAAACAGCTATCACAATATTAAATAAGGATTTACCTATTGTTCGTAAAAAGTCTTGAATTTTTTCCAGTTTTCCTTCGGTTTCTTTTAAAATAAATTTTGACTCTTCTCTTCTGTCATCGTACACTCTGGTACCAGCTACTTCTCTTAATAATTTAAGTCTTTGCGAATCAGGTGCTGTTGCCATTTGATTTATCTATGGAATATAATTTGATGTATTTTCCTGTATTAAAAAATCATGTATTTACTAGAGAACACACCTTTCCCTGCTTCACAATGTAATATGGATTCGATCTTGAAAAACCAGCCGATTCTAATAAATTCATAACATCGTTTCTAGTAACTATTTTTTTATTAAGGAAATACTGGTCTTTTTTTGAGCCAATCACTCTTCTCAGAAACACTTCTTCTTTATCTATCTATAGGAATAAGCAATCAATTTATAAAATAAAATTAAAAAAACAATCAACCGAACATAAAAAAGTTATAAGATAATAAAAGTTAAGTACTGGTAATCTTCCATCAGAATTGTCAAATACGATTTCCACATGCGCAGAAATAACTCTTGGTCCAGTTCCTTCGTGCAATAAAGCCTGCCTCTGTTCTGGTCTGAGATGAGAAAATTCATCACTTAAAACAAATTGAATTGCATAAAAAAAATTACTCTTGCCAGAACCATTTCTTCCAACTAAAAATAAAAACATAATGTATGTAATTTTTATTAACTTTGATGAAACATTTGTACATACCTACTACATTGTGTCTTGGATCAAAGGGGTCTACTACTGTTTGTTCACGGTAAGATTTAAACCCCTGTACAATCACCTAATCGAAGAAAAATAATCGATGTTACATATTACTAATTTGCTACGTAAATTTAGGTGTAGTGGTAATATGTTTTAATAAGTTTATGTTCTATGATTGACTCATTCATTTTGTTTGACGTTAATATCTGGAGCATGATTATAAATTAATGACAAAAATTAATGACAATGCATCGAAAGCAATATTTGTTTATGTTACAACTAAATAGCATTAACAATATTTCCTTCGTACGCTCAGCGTCTGTTGAAAAAGACGTACTTTTGGAACACGCAAAAAGCGACAGGAATTGGAAAAGCAAACCAAACATTATTTAATATACCTGTTTAATGTACATGATGTTATTCTCGTGCTACGTTCTACGGCAATTCAATTAGAAAAGTAACTTCTCTGTCCCATACATTTAAACTGATTCAACCGACAACCGACTTTTTGGTAGACCGACATTTATAAAGTGATCCACGACAGGGATGCCACAATTGCGCACCATTTTTCTCCGCACGTTTCTTAAGATGGTTATGCGCAGGCGCGATAAACAAATGATGCGCATGCGCAGTGCTTGGAGGCCACGCAGCCGGCCAGTAAAGTATCTAATACAATTCGTGAAACTGGCGGCCTTAGTCGCCCCCCACAAAATAGAGTTATGAAAGGCAAAAAAATGAAATACATACCGGACACAACGCACAGTGGTCCACATTAAAAAATTTATTGACATAGGATAAAATACTGAACTTTCTCGTGAACTACTGTGCGTCGTGTCCGGAATAGCTTGCTCCTTAGTTTGTGCCATATGAGGCCCCCAGGCTGCTACCCAGTGTGCCCGTACAATCGTATATTAACGACCCTGATCCTGTAAAGGACGGAACATCTTTGTGTCTTTGTCGTATGCGCAAACAGGCTGCGCAGTCGTCTCTGCACATTTCTCCGCATTTTCGGCCAAACGCGGAGAAATCTCCGCGCTTTTGGCATCCCTGTCCACGATGTCTCTAGATTTAGGCGGGAGCATTGAGCTCTATCCTGGATAGAGCTTAATGGGCGGGAGACTTGATATAGCTACCATTACACAAGCAAGAAAATACTATTTTTTAATTATAAGTATATAGGGATTTATGAATAACTATGAAATTTGTTTAAAACAAAAATCATTAGAATATCTCTTATTAATCGGATTCGGACGTGCTTATTATTAATTATATTTAAGTTTAAACGGATTCTCCGCACAATAAAATGGTACAGTTATCTAGAGATGAATCCTAACCTCCACATGTATGGTCAATTTTTTGTGCCAGAGGACACAATCCTCTGAACAAATGCTGCCCACTTTAGCTACAGAAATACTGTATATTTTTCTCCTAATATAGATAGACTTAAAAATAACATAAAAATAATCAATAATTTCGATGCAAATTTTATTTTAAAAAGGATAAGTAGGAATAATTTTAATTCTAAATTATCAATAAGACATGTCACTTAATGATGAATACTCAGTGCATCACTTTGAACTTCATGACTTAGCTGTGTTTGCAAGTTAGATAATTTATTCTTCAATGCAGCAATGCCCATCATCACAATATTCTCAGGTTTTAAAGCTCCACTACTTTCAACATTGAAATAATATTTATTTGGTTTAGCTTCCCAATTAAATGATGCTTCGTCTGAAACATTTTATAATAATTAATCAGAAACACCATAATTAATTTCTTGACCACTATAAAACTTACATTGATCCTCTTCCAATTCACTGTATTCTGATTTTGGCCATTCATCAGGTTTTGGGAACAATGTATGTCTCATGGAATTGTCTGGATCATATTCAAAGCTTACACCAGCAGTCGGATTCCATTTTGCATGTTCCTTTCCAAAGCCTTTCTTGGCATATGCTCTTAGTTTTAATTCTTGTCCCTTACGTAATTTTACTATCAGTATCTCTATAAAAAAAAAAAGATTAGTTGGTATTAACAATACCAATCTTACATTTAGTATCAACACTAATAGATGCATAGCTTTGAAAAATATTAACCATCTGTTTCTCCATATTCGCTGGCATCATCCTCTCTGTGTCTGGATGTGACAGGCAATACTCTTGGATCACTAGACTTAAAATCTGCAGTGGTTACATGCCGTGTTTGGTCTTCTGTGCATTTTACATCTAACGTAAACTCAACACTACATTCAGGACAGAAATCCATGCATTGGCAATCTCTTGTATATTGTATCCTATCAACAACCTAAACGATAGTATTGCACAATTGTTGAACTGTGTGTAAATTTGTTTTTTAGCAATTAATTGTTAGACGTTTAACTTTTAAATACTTACGTCGTCGCTAATCAACGGTATCATACCGATTCTGTGTGCTAAGAATTCATCACTTAAGACCGTAGAATTAGCTTCTAGTTGAATCCAATCGATAGCCATAGTAGGTGTTTCTGCGATAAACACACGCCTCATGCTGTTTGCTACACTGTACAAATTAAAAACATTTAATAATAGAAGGCGTAAAAGATCGCAACATAACCTATCTTACCTTAACTCGGTATCTTCTACTTGAAATTTCACATTTTCTTCGGTTAAATCGGAAATGTGAACCGATGGTTGATTAGCGTACGGCATTTTGTAGAATTTGTTTTATTAAAGAAGTTAAAGAGTCGTAATTTACACGTAATACACTTGTCTCGATCCTTGAACGATACGTCAAATTTTCTGTGCTTGTGTTTATTAGGTTAAGCGGTTAGGTGAAGTTAGGTTAGTAACACCATAAACCTACTATTACACATTCGTGGATGTTGCAAATGGAGCCCCATTGCAGATCATGCAAAACAAAAATACTTCCCGCTTTTATTTAAAAAATGTGCTGACTTTGTTATTTGTCAGTATTATGAAAGAAGACCTTTTAAGATAGCTAGTACGTTTTATTTAAAAAATTCATTATATTACATATCGTTCATTACATAATTCGAAGAGTAAACAAATTTGTGTCAAAAAGTGAATCTTACATCGGCAAGGCTGAGAATATATGATCTGATTATCCATGTTATTCAAATTTGTATCCCACTCGTTTAAATATTGAACGATAAGTAAAATTAAATTACTTAAATTATTATTTAGCTAAGTCACAATTTCGGTTTAATACGATCCTTCTTATAATTTCACACGAATAGAAGAATCAGGTGCTTGGAGTGTGCATACAATTAATTATACACGTAATAAATAATGAGAATAGGATATTATACTGGTAACTCTTACTAATAATAAGAAATGTCAATTCTATGGCACTAAAGTCTTGTAAAAATTGGAAGACTGAGAAATACTATCTGTTCAGTATTTCAAATATGTTTGTGCAATTATAAATGACGCTAATACAAATATATTCTAAATGCAGCATAAATAGGAATACCAAATCATATAAGAGCTGAAAGAACAGTATTTAGAAGTATTCAAAATATTTTCATTAATGTAAGTTAATTAGATATTAGAAAAAGAGGTATAGATTTAGCTAATGCATCTGAACGATTGATTTTTAAAGTTCGTCTTGAAAACGCTCAATATCTTGTAAATGTTCCCCGTAATCGGTGGCTTCACTACCTACGAAAGCGTCGTGATGATCTAAAATTTCATCGAAAGACAACCTATTGTCGTGATCATCATCGGATGCTGCGAATAGATGATCTACTTCATCATCAGCTATTTCTCTGAAATATTTATGTATTATTAACGTTTTACAATTATCAAACAATTAGAATACTGTATAAATATTTAACTTACTCGTTACTAGGTACCAGCCATGAAAGTATTTCATCTGAATCCAGTCGTCCATCCCCATTTTTATCATGTTCATAATCAAATTTGTCTTTCTCTATTAGCAACCATTCCTTATTTTCTGTCTTAGCTCTATTCCCAATAAATTCTTGGAAACTAATAAATCCATCTTTATCAGTGTCTTTGTCATCTAAAGCTTGCCTGAGTAGAAGTGGGAACATTCTAGGTGTCTCTTCAGGATGAGTATAAGCTTTAAACTCTTCTTTGTCCAGATAGCCATTTCCATCTATATCAGCAGCCTCAAATGTTTGTTTATCATCATTTATAATCTTATAATCCTCTGCCAAATCTTCTGGATCAGAGCCATACGTGTCTTGCAGAATTTCATTCCAGGTGATTTTACCATCTTCATTTTCATCAGTTTCTTCTAATCGATCTTGAGATTCCTCTGTAGAAAGCATGCTATTTCCAAGATAAATTTATGCGTATCCTCATTTTAAATAAACCAGGCAATGTTCCTAATATACATACCTAAATGAACGTAAAATCCAAGCTTTTAGTTCGTTTCTCTCTATAAATGTGTCATTGTTTAAGTCCATTTTTGTCAATAAAATCCCTAAACGCCTCTTTGATTCCTTCATTGGAAGTTTGTCAAATTCTTCTGCTTCTTTTACACTTCCTGGGTAAGATACAAAAAGGTATAGTTCACAGAAATCCAAAGCAATCGATTTACTTTAAATTCCTCTACAAATAATACATAACAATGCACACCAAGAATAGCTTCGTGATCAAACTCCTGATGGTGTTCTCCCCCTGCATAGTGGTCCATGTCCCGTGGACTAAATGCACCATCCTCTGTTCTCTCATTGCTATTAGGTTTGGTGTGTTGATGAGTGTGTATATGCGCGGATGCTGCACTTCCTGATGAGAATAACCCAAAAATCGTAATAACTAATAACAGAGGAATTCTTACACGCGTCCGACGTGTATACATCGTTAGTTTTTGAAGAAGCCTGAAAATGATAATATAAAAACTGAGTAACCTCACAACATCAAGATTTGACAGAAATGCCGATATACACAGCAAACACCATTACGAATCTTCTCGACTGCTCGTCGTTTACGCATGCCGTGTAATCGCTCTCGAAAATCGATTTTGATTAAATTCGAATATTCATAGACGGTGGCACCCGACGAATAAACAATTTTACGCGTTATTATACAAAGTTAAGGTGTACTGGTTAACTTTGTTACTAGATAAATTTACGCACATGTTTGGAACTGTCAAATTGTTAAAGTTGACCGATCATGGTGTTTTGTTGGAAAGATTTAATACACACCGGTTCCTTATTCGGAAGTCGCGATTAAGGGAATTTCCGATTATGATTTCCTGGATTTAATTTACAATTTTCAATGTTCGAAAACGTTTTTTTTTTTCTTTAAGAATGTCACCGATGCAAGCACGTGTCAGAATATCAAACGTGTTTTGTCGCGTGAAAAGCGGAGGACGAAAAAAACGGGGCGAAGCCGCTTTAGCCGCGACCAGTATGTGCAGTCATGACTTTGTTCTAGGGTGCGCGTACAAAAATAGATTAGCCGTACTGATACGTGTTCTATTTATTTCTAACTTCTGTGATCGTTCATTGAGAGAGAAAATTGCTTCGAATTATTAAAGTTTAGCAGTGCAAAGTACAAATACGAAGCCTGGAGATAGTCAAGTGCATTTGCACAAAATTCTTGAAATGCAATTTTCTTAAAAACGTACGGTTCTAATCGTTACATCTAATTTTAGATATTGATTTTCTAACATTAAAAAAAATCAACGCTAGACAGTGTACTTCTTTCAATCTTCTACAGCTACTTATATTAACTTTGTACACTTATAGAGTCGATTTATAAATAATTTGAGTTTAAGGTGATACGTACTTTGTTACATTTAGTTCTCTTACATTTTCGTTCAAATTGGTCTTTTAACGAACGTCTGTTTTCAAACAATTGAAACTATTTGTTTTGTAGTTGTTCATTAAGAATGATGTAATGATTTTTACAAGAATTGCATTGTTTATACGCAAAATGTTCATTTTCAAATATCAAGATCCCTTACAATATTTCTACATTAAATTTTTAAACAATCACAGTTTCTCTTGTGGGTTCTCGGTATTTTTGTTCAAATGAATAGTCATCTAGCAGTGAGCATACCGAACTAATTTTCGGAGTTTAGTCAGCGCCTCTATCGGGATGTTGGAAATCCGCCTGTTATTTAAATACAGGCTGGTGCTAACTGGACCTTGATGACGATCGTAATTAGGAAAGTAAATATACTGCAGTTAACAAGTAACACTATAACTATATTAACAATAACGCAGAATGAATAACACACGACTCAACGCTACGACTCGTTATATCGGAATGAACTAGAATGGACGTCCATGCGGCGTCCCCCACTCCACACATACTGTACGCGCGGTTAAACACACGCCTGCGCAGAGCGATACGCCATAAGGCGAGTCCCCACAGGGAAAATGCTCAAGTTTTCCATCTAGCGGGAACAGTAGGAACTGTTTTCACTACAAACTTGGGCGTTTTACCACCGACGGCGCCACTGACAAAATTTTTGTGACACCATCTAGCAGAAATAATAGGAACTACATTTA